TTTAGTGGCTATCTCTACTGTCTCTGAACACAGCAGAGATTGTTTAGTGGCTATCTCTACTGTCTCTGACACGCGATTGTTTAGTGGCTTCTCTGACCACAGCAGATTGTTTAGTGGCTATCTCTACTGTCTCTGAACCAGCGAGATTGTTTAGTGGCTATTCACTGTCTCTGACCAGCAGAGATTGTTTAGTGGCTATCTCTACGTCTCTGACCAGCGAATTGTTAGGCTATTTATGCTCGACCAGCGAATTTTAGTGGCTATGTTACTGTCTCTGACCACTGCAGAGATTGTTTAGTGGCTGTCTCGACCACAGCAGAGATTGTTTAGTGGCTATCTCTACTGTCTCTGACCACAGCAGAGATTGTTTAGTGGCTGTCTCTGACCACAGCAGAGATTGTTTAGTGGCTATCTCTACTGTCTCTGACCACAGCAGAGATTGTTTAGTGGCTATCTCTACTGTCTCTGACCACAGCAGAGATTGTTTAGTGGCTGTCTCTACTGTCTCTGACCACTGCAGAGATTGTTTAGTGGCTATCTCTACTGTCTCTGACCACTGCAGAGATTGTTTAGTGGCTATCTCTACTGTCTCTGACCACAGCAGAGATTGTTTAGTGGCTATCTCTACTGTCTCTGACCACAGCAGAGATTGTTTAGTGGCTATCTCTACTGTCTCTGACCACAGCAGAGATTGTTTAGTGGCTATCTCTACTGTCTCTGACCACTGCAGAGATTGTTTAGTGGCTATCTCTACTGTCTCTGACCACAGCAGATATTGTTTTGTGGCTATCTCTACTGTCTCTGAACAAAGCACTGTTCTGTTTTATAGAGTGTGCTGTCAATTTCTACCCTTGACATCAATGACAGTGACTCCCAAGTTCAACAGTTCCATTGGACATTGCATAGCCCCCTTGGGATACACTGGAATAGTATGCCATGTTTCTACATTAACCATCACACAGGTATTTCATTCAGTCAATTGAATCACTGCCCCATGCAATATCTGAGCTTGTAATGTCCCCCCCAAAATAAATACATGTATTTGTGAGCCACACAAGCTCACAGAACGGGACCACCGAGTGCTGAAGCACGTAGCGCGTAATAATGATCTGTCCTCGGTTGCAACACACACTACCTAGTTCCAAACTGCTTTTAGAAGCAATGTCAGCACAATAACTGTTAGTCGGGAGCTTTATGAAATGGGTTTCCATGGCCGAGCAGCCGCACACAAGCCTAAGGTCACCATGCGCAATGCCAATCCTCGGCTGGAGTGATGTAAAGCTTGCCGCCATTGGACTCTGGAGCAGTGGAAACGTCTTCTCTGGAGTGATGAATCACGTTTCACCATCTGACAGTCCGACGGACGAATCTGTGTTTGACGGATGCCAGGAGAACGCTACCTGCCCGAATGCATAGTGCCAACTGTAAAGTTTGGTGGAGGAGGAATAATGGTCTGGGGCTGTTTTTCATGGTTTGGGCTAGGTCCCTTAGTTCCAGTGAA